AAAAAAGGGGGGCCCCAATGTCGGATGGGGATCAACAGCTGGAGTTAAATATTTCGGGAAATGAGGAAAATTAAAAAAAGCACCTACAGCTCCAACTCATTTGGGTGAAAACAGTAGGTGTAATTTTGGAGACGAAATTTGCCAGCAATTTTCGTCGTGCGCCCCTCGTCTTTAACATAATTTAAATTTTTGCAAAATATTTGATTTAGAATGGCTGCATTGGGTGATCCGTTATTTTGTCCTAATTTAATCATTACATACTTATGTATGTACATGCCAATTTATCGATGTGTGTGTGTGTCATTGCGTTTCTCACATGCAAATGTGACGACTGAAAGTTTTTCCCTGCTCTCCCCTTGAAAGCCAATCCAAAATGTTTTTAAAGTCAAAACCAAAATTCCTTATGAATTTAATGGGTTGGCTACACACTTTGACTTAGAATTGCATACATTAGATAATCCGTTCTGGTATCCAAATAGAAAAATTTTATCAGGTGTTTCTAAGCCAGAAACAAAACATTGGCGGCGTCTCTTTCGCTTCAAATGACTCTTTCTCTGCTCACTACTCTCTCGCTCTGCTTTTGCTGACGTTCGTGAGTGCTGCGAAAAACAAAAACAACGTGCTGCCAAAGAGGCCCCCCGCAACCCGCGCAAACAAAAAGGATCATATAAAATCAACCGTGGGTCCAAAAAACGAAAAAAAAATACCTTACTAATTGTATGGCATAGCTCCGCACTTTAAAACAAAAACGGATGCGATCGCATAATCGGTGCGGAAAAATTAATTAAGTGCCCCAACCGGAAGTCGGTGGGGGCTCATCTTCTGGGCTTTCAAAGATTTCCACAAAGAAAGCTTAAAAAAAAATATCAACTTGTTTGGTTAAAAACTGTGGGAATGGTTGATGTTTTAATCAACCAATTTTGCATTTTTCGAGAGTCCTGGGAGTCCTTAGGAGCCGAATTTTAAAAAATCCTTTCTTAGTGCACACCTCCTCTAACACACGATTCAGACCCAATTTTTTCCAGAATTTTAGGTCTTATGGTTTGGGCTGGGGGAACATGACGCAAATCGACATCTACTCTTTTATAGTAATACTCGATAAGATCACACGCGCAGAGCCGCCGCATCCAATCACATTCCCATCTTGGATCGGAATCTGGGGTCTGGGTCTCCCATTCCCATTCCAAAAGCCATCACAATCAGCCACTTAGCCCATCTCGCAGGGAACACACACGTAGGCGCCTCCAGCAGCAGGTTCTTAGGTGTCCGTCAGCGGAGCTCGGAATTCGCCGGACACGTCCGCGGACAAAGATCGATGCTATGGGGGCCACTTAATTCGTTTGATGGCAATGAGTTGACGCCAGCCTCAGCAGCTGTACCGCTACATCATCGATAAGACAGAAGTTTGGGAAATCAAAAGATTCACAGCTCCTACAACCCGGGAGAAGTGTTAATGGATGTCACTTTAGTTGGTCCCCCCTTCCACACTTTCTTAGCCCCTTTTTTCGCTTCGATCCACCTTTTGGCTGACATTAAGCTTCATCAGACATTCAACTCGATGCTGAATTAGCATACAAATTACACACGAGCACTAGCACTCAAAAAATGCTCTTCGGTATTCGGGTTTTGGGTTTTAGGTTTTCGGTTTTCGGACATTCGGCTCTCTGACCACAACAAAAAGCCGACAAATTTCGCCCCAAACGCTTCCAAGTGGCAAACGGCTACCGATTTTATTATTGATAATGTTTTGATTTATCACAAAGATATACAAATTGCCACTGCCCCAAACTTCGGTTGAGGTCCACTCTGTATCTTGCCGCAGGGCGCGGCGCTTTTGTGTGTATCTTGTGGATAAACGCTGGGGTATTTCATTCGAGACCATAATTTGTATGCGGTAGCCCGAACGTCGGTTGTTGGTGTCATTTCGTGCTAAGTTCCATTGTATCTGCAGAGAGAAAAAATATATAACAATATTCCGAATTTATTAATGTTCTCTATAATAAATTTAAAATATTAACTTGAGTTAATTGGTTTCCTATTTACAAAAGGATTGCCTTTTTTGATTGACAAAAGTCAAAACTGGATATACCATCTATATCTTTAGTATCGTTTGAATATTTTATTAATCTACCTAATTATAACATAATCGCCTCATATTTTCTCACAGTGTGCTCTTGCGGCTTCGCCGGACTACTTATGTTAAGCGATCTCCGGTGCTGGTCTTAATAGACGGATCCGATCCACATTGACAAATGCTGTTCGTCGCGTTCAGTAAATTGTTTTCGACATTTTCGTGTCGCATTTGTGGTCGAAATCTGCATAATGAGTTGGCAAAACGCTGACAGCTGTCCCAAGTGCCGGAGATTACTCGATGATAAGGCGAGGATCGCTTTGGCCATAAGCGCATTCGTCACAGATTTCTTTCGGGGCGCAGCTGAAAGGTTGAGGTTGAAGTTGAGGATACATAGCTGCGAGCTGGCTATAATTGGCATGCAGTTTGGGTTTGGGTTTAGGTTTGGAAGCGTCGAGCGTTGATTGTTGACAACTGGCTGGCACAACTTCATCATCGTCAGCCACAGGAAGAAGGGGATGGGGAACTCGAGTTCTGGTGTAGATCGGACCGGCAAAAAAACAAAAGGCGACATTAATGCATTGCCAGCAGCCACTCTCTCAGTCGCCGCCGAAGGGGCGTGACGAATTTGACACAACGGCAATGACTTTATTACCAAGTGACTCCTGCTCCGACACCCCTGATCACCCCTGCACAAACCCCCATCCATCCCCGCCCCTGGCAGTATGACAATATGACAATGTACACAAATACGAGCACCGTGGTGAAGAGCCCTCTCCGGGGATTTGGGCTTGCCAGATGCGACAATAAACACTTTGGCTATTTATGAGGTTTTAATGAACACGGGTTCGCCATTCGCCATCTTGGGCCGACTAATGAAAGGATATAGAGCCGATACATTTGGCTTATGAATTTGCAGAATTAGAGGCGTGTCGGACCGTTTTCGAGGGGCTATGAATTTGAGTGCCGCTTCGAGTGGCTCTTTCCTAGGGGCGATGGCTAATTGTGATTGACAGGGCGTGTCGCGTCTATTGAGGCGCCCAATTAAGAGTCGTTTTATAATTGATTTTGAATACGAAGGCGATAGCAATAACGAATGTTCACAGGGGAGGCAAATTTCCAATTTTCAACTTCCAATTTCCAAGCGAAAGGAAACTCTGGTCCGTCAAGTCAGTCAAGTGCAGGCATTAATCAAACAACGCGGCCATCTTGCAACCAGAATACGGGGAGGTTGGAGGGATTGGAGAAGGGCTCTTATGCAAATGCCGACAACAACTACAGCCGCGTCATAAAAACCGAAATAAATAGGGGTACATCGAAACAGGTACACCCTTTCAGAGGTCTGAATAAACTGGAACTCAAACTGGACTCGAAACAAATTATAATAAGGCTTTGTTTGTTTCTTTAGCAACTGGTAATCGGCTATAGGACTAAGACTTAAGTACATTAATTTAAATTAGTTTAAAATAATTTATTATCAAATTTATAGAAATATTTTCAAATTATCTATTGAAAAAATAAACGATTTTACGGATATTGTTATTCAAGAAAACAAATCCCAATCAGTTTAGAGTTTAAACTAGCACCTCCACCTGATTACCTTTGCCATTTTAAAATAATCAATTATACCCCGTTTTAAGAAGGCAGTGTGAGGCGAGGAAGAACCTATTATCGATTACGGCTCGGCTGTTACATCATTTCACTTAGCCGACTCTCCAGTCACATTCCCACCGGCAAAGGGCGCAATGCAGTTAAATAGACATTTGCATGCAAAATGCAAGAAAAAGCGAGAAATAAAAAGAAAACCAGGACAAACAGCGGAGCGAAATTGAATAAAAAACTGACACTGACAAACAAACGAAGCGCGGCGCATACAGGGCGCATACGTGATACAACGAGCGGACCAAAGTTGCAATCAATTTGGAAATGCATCGAGTTGAGTTGGGGAGTGGGAAACGATGGAAATGGCAAGACAAACGAATGTGTGCCAAGAGAATGCACTGAGAAAAAAACCAGCTAATTAAAAATAACATTTATCATTATTTATTATATTAAACCTTTATTAAATCGCAACAAAAGCTAAGTCAACTTATCTATTTCAAAGAGTGTGTGTTGAACATTAAATTATGATCTCGACATCCTAGAAATCTTGTAAATTCGTTTATAAATGTTTATCATTAAAATAGTAGGTATATTCTTCAGTGAACATTTTGATGGATTATACAGAAGGAAGAATTATTACTTTTTTGATCTTAATATTTGTTTGCCTTTTTGTTGGGTAAAGGATTACTCGATCAGGGAAACTACTTTAATTTTTTTCCTGTGCACTGGAGGTCTCGAAACACGGATTCGAAGAGGCTTGCTTTTTCAGCGGAAAATAGATGAGGAGCCGAAGCCAACGGTACAACGAGACATCATTATTGATGACAATTGAGTGGGCCAAAAGAGAGCTGCGAAAAAGCGGGAGAGCCAACAATTACGATAATTAACGCAGTCAGCCGCCTGGAAAGTGGAGGGGAGCGAAAGGGAAGGAGAAGGTGAGACAGAGAGAGAGAAAGGGAAGGAGCGCGCATGTCAAATTGTACAAATTGATGACGTTCGCACGTTGACAGCGAGTTTCGGGGGGTGGCAGGGGGCTGAAATGCTCCTGGCCCACTGCCATTGGTCCGCTGGCCCGCTCTCTGCCTGTCTCTCTCTCTTGGCGACTGCCCCGCCCCCTTTGGCCAGAGCGAGGCGGCGCGTTTCCAATTAGACGAGCTGCGCAGATGCGCGAGTCGAGTCCGTGACGTCACGAACCAGTTTAGAGCCCCCAAAAACCAGTCGAGAGAGTTGGCCATAAGAGAGCGAGAGAGAGGCAGAGGCAGAGGGAGAGAGCCGAGCGACATTAGCAACAAATTCTGGACGAGCCATTTTCGTTGTTGGTGTTTGTGTTGCACGTTGTGCCGACGTTTTTCGTGTGACAGCCGCGCGTTTTTGCCGACGCGTTTTTAGCCGCGAGTTTAGTACGCCATACTGCAATAGATATAGCCAGGATATGCTAAGTGGCCAAGGGAGAACCACCTGAAGATGCCGCAAAGAACTCCCAGTCCCGCTAATTCCGAGATTTCGGTGGGTTCGCCCAGTCCGCCGCCCATGAGATCCTTGAACATGAAGCGTTTGCGGCTTTTGAGGAGTCCTGTGAACCTAGCAGATGGCCGTCAAAGATCGTCGCCCGTCAGGATCAAAAGCTTTTCCATAGCCGATATCCTGGGACGTGGAAACGAAGAGGGTGGTGAGGAGAAGAAACCGGAGAGGAGTGCGGTACCCAGTGTTCCCGTACCAGGAGTTTCTGCCCCTCTCGTTCTGATAAACGAAAGATTGCAGATGCCCCTGGTGCAGATGCAGAATTGTCCACCTCCACCGCCGGCTGCACTGCATCCGTTTCTGTCGCCCGCCCTGCTCCACAGCTACGAGCAGCGACTGGCCTGGGACTATCAGCGCCAACTGCAGGAGCACTTCCAGGCCCAGGCGCACCTCCTCCGCCACATGACCTTGAATCCCGCCATCATCGCCTCCGAGGACGGCAGCTCCGAGCGTTCCCAGCGATCCAGCAGCAGCAATGGCAGCACCGACTGCTGCACTCCCAGGCAGGCGGAAAAGCTGGAAAAGCTAAACACCCCAGAGGGCGGCGAAGGAGCAGCGAAAAAGTCGGAGGCGGAACAGCCAACGGGGGCGAGAAAATCAAATGGGGACACTCCTCTGGACGCCCTCTTCCAGCTGTCCACCAAAAACTTTGACGAGGAACAAGGTGAGTAGTTCGGCAGTCTAGTGAAAAGATAAGCAAATCTATAAAGGGCTTTCTTAAACTCAAATCACCTGTGAATTCAGAAAGAATCTTTGTCCTTGAAGAGCTTAAGCATATCAAAACATTTTGCTTCTGAATATTTTTACCCCAATAACAACAGTTTCGTTTAACTGAATCGGCCTTGGAAAAACTTTTAAAATCAACACTTTGTTGTAGATTTTTGTGTATTTTTATACCCTTGTAGAGGGTATTATAATTTCAGTCAGATGTTTGCAACGCAGTGAAGGAGACGTTTCCGACCACATAAAGTATATATATTCTTGATCAGCACCAATAGCCGAGTCTATCTAGCCATGTCCGTCTGTCCGTCTGTCCGTCTGTCCGTCTGTCCGTCTGTCCGTCTGTCCGTTTCTATGCGAACTAGTCTCTCAGTTTTAAAGCTATCGCGATGAAACTTTCCCGAAGGTCTTCTTTCTATTGCAGGTACACCCAGAAAACAAAATGGACTAAAAAGGGGCCTAATTACCTAAAATTTTAGGAAATATGGCCAGAAAAACGCGCCAAGGCCATGCATTACCTAAAATGTTGTCCATGTGGACTATATTTTGTACGCAGTCTTGAATTTATTTCTGGTAATGGTTACCTAAAAAAATGGCTAGTGGACTAGATTTTTAGGTCAGAATTACCTAAATATTAGGTATTTAAAAAAAAGCTAGGATTTTTACTATTGATAGTAACATATTTGATTATTTTAATTGCTTATATTGTATTATTCGGAAAAGCAAATATTTTATCTTTCTGAAAAAACAATCACTTTATTTTGTCCTCGGTGGGAATCGATCCCGGGTCTTCTGCGCGAGAGTCCAATAGGCTAGCCTCTGGTCTACGGAACTACTTAAAGGCCCTGCGGCAAAACCAAAGCCTGCTTCAAGGGGCTCAGGCGAATTCTATTTTTAGAATAGGGCACTATTACCTTAAAAGTAGGAAAATAGTCCACGTAGGTATTGATTTTATATATTGAAACTTTTCCATCACTAGCTTTAAGAAAAGTCTAAAAAATTTTTTAACATTAAACTTAAAAAACCGAATAATTTGTTTATTAATATTAGGGACCAATATTTGTATTAAGTTGTGAGTGATAATCGACTTTAAATTATTCCTAAATTTTAGGTCTTATGGACCAATTTGAAGGTTACGATGGCCTATAAAAATCTCTTTAGCTTTACCTAAAAAGTAGGAACATAGTCCACATGCTAATATTTTTAGGTAACCCATTACCTAAATCTGAAATTTTAGTCTATTTAAATTTTTTAGGTCATACGTTACCTAAAAAATAGTCCCACATTTCTCTGGGTGTAGTACATATGTCGGAGCCAGCCGGATCGGACCACTATATCTTAAGGCTCCCAATCAAATATAAGAAAATTCATTGTAACTTTGTAGGAAGTAGGCGTTTTGATTCTTGACTACTTAAAAACAAAATTGAAATAAATCGAAACGCTGAATCTGGAATCCCTGGAACTGCACCGAGTGAGTATTCTTTTATCTGCAAGGGTATATAAGCTTCGGCTGGCCGAAGGTAGCTTCCTTTCTTGTTTTTCTTCTGAACTTATTATTTTAAGCCATAGTTTTTTGAATTACTTACTGCTCGATCGCCAACGCGAATTACCTCACTTTTTGCTCTGTGCACACAGCCGCAATCAAATTACATTTTAATATAAACTGATTTCCCAACGAGACCCATCATAACCATTAGCCCGGCCAGCGATTGATCAATTGTTGTCATTACGTCTTGATGAGATTCTGCTTAAGGCGTAAAAACAGTAGTGAGGTCAGTCTGGTCGGCCGAGGTGGCTAAATCAATTTCAGGCCGGCTGGCTGCTCGCTCGGCATCGCCTTTGGAGGCAATTGCCTTTCCCAGACCCAGACCCATACCCATACCCAGTCAGAGACCCACTCGAAACCCCCAGCCCGATGATATGATGGTGCTCCAGCTCGGATTCAGACCCAGGCTGATGGCTCTGGCGCATGCGTATCGTTCGGCATAATTTGCTTAGCGGCGTTGATTTCTCGTTAAGTCGCAGACGCGAACCGATTCATCCCACACTCAAAACAAAACAGTAATCCTAAAAAAATGATAAATTTTACCAATTCTATAATGTCATTTAATATTTTTAGAAATACCAGATTTCACATAAATCTTTAAACAAAAAAAACTTTTATCAGTTGATCATGTTAAGATTATTTTCCCAAAATATTGGAAACTGTTGTATTTCCTTTCTGATTATTCATTTAAATATAGTGAAACAATTTTGTATTAAAGTTTAGAGCCTCATTAAAACTTTAATTCAAGATATGCTTTAAATTTAAACTGAAATATGTTCCATCCTGTTACAAAAGAGGTTCTAAAGCAAAGGATTATTCGTTTCAATATTCTTGTAAATTTGCAAACTAGTTTCCATATTTTTCGAGTGCAATCGCCAGCAATCCATCAGCGAACCCATGGTCTGCGCTTTGTTCATCAGCTACTGAAATTGAATTTACGCGGCGCACGTACAACGGGCAATTGGTTCGTGCTCCACTCTGGATTGCCTTATTGCTGGATTGCCCGACTGCTCGATTGCCACAGAGCCATCTAATCAGCATCAGCTGATTTGATCGGTTGATCGGTTGATCAACTGCTACTGGCATTGAGTGCCGCCCGGGATGATTATGATTATCGCTGAGCTGCACTTAAGCGCCGCAGTTTGCGAAAATTGTATTATGCTTTTTTCCCAAGACAGCATCCGGTGGGGAGATCGGAGACCCTCCGCTTCCTGCAACTCTGCTGAGCAATTTGCCAGGCCGATCAAAAGCCGTAACCGGCCAGTTGGGGGAAAGATCTGAGGCACTTCCGCCTGGTAATTAGGAGCAGCGACAACTCCCATTGCAACACCATCGTAGCTCCACTTTGGCCTGCTCACCGCTCATGACGATTGCCAGCAGATTGCCAGCAGATAAACCAAAGAGCAGCCCATCTAGCACATACAAAATAATTACAATGAAAATGGCTGAAAAGTTGCAGCTATTTGAACAATGGACCTGTCGTTAGGTCTAGTCAATTACGAGCTCATGGGACATGTGGTCACCGAAGGTCGGTTACCCTTTAAGAAAAGGGAGTATTTAGGATATAACAAGTGGATAAGATCCTGAGGTGTTTATTTCTTAATTTCTCTGATTTTCATTAACATTAAAGATAAAGTTGAACAAATTTATAACAAAAATTATTTGAATAAACTTTTTTAACAGTTGAGAAATAGGAGTGTTCAAAAAGAATTATATTATAAATATCTACATTAACTAAATATGTGTGAGCACTTTCTCGAAATGGAATAGAAAGTCGATCATTACTGCTGGGACTCCCCTTTAACTTCCACAGGGTATACCCGCAATGGTAGTGGGCCAAAGGGGAGGAGACTCAGTGGGTCGAGGGGTGATCAGCACGGGTTGTTTTGTCGGTGGCTGCCGTTGAAATGTTGGCTTGATGAAACGCCAAGACAATTGGCACAGACAGCCGCATTATTGAACGCACAAACGGCACAGAGAGCGGCGGATGCATCCCTAATTACAATTTAATTACTAAAACTTTTCCCACTTGACAAAAGGCGGCGGCAATGGCAGTTGAAGACCGGAGGAGGAGGACCGAAGACTGCGACCCAGCCGAGCGTGAACCACAAAACGCACCGCAACCAGATACAGATACATTTACAGACACCCAGTCCCAGAACTGAAACAAACTCACCGAAACTCACACAGCTACAGATAGGCGGCCACAATGATGATGGCACTTCGGGTTGACAGTTGATTTGACAGATAGCAGTGTAAACATTTTACAACATGCGGGCCTTAGGTCGCGGGGCGGAGCAAAATAATAATAATAAAACGCGGCCGGGTGTGAGGTGGTACTTACATATACGAATACGAGGTGGTGGTGCCCAAAGAGTCAAAGCTAATTAGTTCAACTAGACGTATACTTAATTTCGAATGGGAGCAAAGTCGAAAAATGTAAATAAGTGGCGGATTGAGCATAAATTATAGTTATAATTGGAAATCCGCACGGATAATGGGCCGGGTCGTGTGCTAACTACCATGCAAATGGATCCCAGTCGGAGCTGTTAGAAGGCAATTTTCAGTCACGTCAAATCAAACGATCCATAACCGGTCCACATCCAGTATTCATATATATCGGTGGGTGGGGTAATAGCTTTTTGAGATTCTACTCTCGGAACAACGTGACATTCTAAATGGCGTGCCTTGGCTATCTGGGTGGCCAACAACGCCCCCCACACAAAGGTATTATATGTTTATCTGGTGTGCCAGATAGATTTCCATCTTTCGCATTAGTGGCCACTTGCCCTGTAATTGCTGTTCAAATATTTGCCTCCAGATCGCGGTGTATTAAAAATCAACTTGCCGATAAAAGAAATGACAGTTCTGCGTGCATCGAAAGCCATAAACAATTTAGCACACCGCCATTTAGATAATAACAAATGTTCAGCGATTGTTATGTAAAGCAAAAATTGATTTAATATTTGATTCTTTGAAATCGCAAACACTTCGCCATCGAGAATGCGCAAGTGCACTCAATTGCACTTGCAATTTCATTCAATTTAAATGCTTCCCAAGAAACCCATTCAATAGACTAAAACCCCTGGCAAAAGTCAACAAGCTGCGAGTTCAGACTACACATAAATCAAGCAAACAAAAAGAAATCCCGCCAGAGTGTAAAATAAAAATTCACTTCGAATGATTAATAGCTGCACAGCGTTTCAACAAAATTCGTTAATGACATTAAAACACCGCGAGAATACTATAAACAGCGTATATATTCGCATATGTGTTTATTAAATGCTATGAGGCGAGACTCGTTTGCCTCAATAAAATCGAGAAAAATGACTGCGGGCACAAACTGTTCTAACGTCGCATAAAATATGCATGAAATATTGCAAAAATGCCTCCGAGCA